TCAATTGGATATGTACCTATAATAATATTTCTGCCCTGCTCTCTTTTTAGAGTTTAAAATTCATTGGTCAAACATCCATATGACCATTGTGAGAGTTTCATAATAACTTTTTTTTTTTGGAAAATACACAATTATTCCTCAATCTATGTCCGAAATTTCAGAGATATTGTTATACTATACTAAGCTTTTATTACCTATGAACTTATTTTATAAGTAATTTTCTATCCCTTTTCGGTCTACGTGGCACTAGATTGAAAAAAAAAAACAAACAATGTTGACCTCACAAAATAGTGCCACATAGCCAGAAAAGGGGTAGAAAATTACTTATAAAATAAGTACATGGGGTAATAGGACCTTAGTATAGTATAAGTGTGTCTCTGAAATTTCGGGCATAGATTGAGGGGGGTACTTGGGCATTATCTTTTTTTTTTTTAATTACAATAGTTAGAAAATTGCTATTTGTGAATTTTACCAAATATATTTTGTACTCAAATAAATTTGAATTATTTTTTTATAGGTAAAGGTAGATGTGGGTGCAGTTTGACCTACTGTATGATTTTATTCTTCTCGTGGGCATTAATTTAATTTATTTTAATTTAATTATATGAACCACTTCTTGAAATTCATGTTAATCTTATTGGATAGGCAGCACTAATTAATTAACAAAAATTCTTACTAATGGAACATTTTTCAGGTGTACTAAACTAGAAAATTCCTACACCAAAGGGGGTGACATTGTTTAATAGAAGAAGGGATAAGAGACTTAATTAAACTATTAAGAAGATAAACTTAAGACCACCATTAATTGCCATTAATCACCATGCACCTTCATCCATTTTCATTTCAACTTTTTCTCAAGATATTATTATTATTTTCATTTCCTAATTTGTCTTTTTGGTTGTACGTAGCAAGGAAATACAAAAAGGATATTGTGTCTATTATTTTTCATTTCTTTTTTTTAGGAATAAGGAAACGCAAAATAAAACAACTTATCTCGAAGGTAGATAATACATATCGAGGTAAAATGATAAAAATTAGTAATTTTAGTATATCTTTACTTTTATTTGATATTTCAAGTCAGAAATATTGATAATTTTAGCTTCTTTTTTTATTATAAGATTATTCGATTTTCTGAATCATTTATATCTCTTATATAATTAAGCTAAGTGCTCAATTATATATGATTGAGATGAATGAGCTTACCTCATATTCACTTTTTAATAACTTAAAAACTTGATTTAACTTGCTAAACTTCCCACTTGACAATATACAAGTGAAAAAGTATAATTTTTTTGAAGATGTCCATCTTCTACATGATGTCAAGCATTTACATGGACATAAATTATCCTCCAACACTATGAAGTGAAGTAAGTACATTTTTTTTAATAACACACAAAAAGCTTACATCATTCATTTGGGACATAACAATAAAAATGAAATGATCTCTCTTTGCCTTTATTTCTATAAATAGTAAAATATAGACATGTTTGAATCAAAAGGGTGAAGATTTGTAACATACATTGCACACACACGTTATTAAAAATTGTATGAAAGAAAAAAAAACATTGTTATTGATGATTGGTGAATGTGAGAGTCCACCAAAAAGTAATAAAAATGGATGAAAAAAGAAGAAAAAAGTAAAAATAGGGGGGCTAATTGGATAAAAGAGAAACGTGTGGGACATATATTGATAGGGACATAGATTTAGGTTAAGTGGAGAAATTAAACCCGACACGTGGTTAAGAAGTGACCCTTGTTAATTGGGTCGAACGCGGGTTTTAAGCCGAGTGGGAATGGACCAATTAGAACGCACCCAAATATAACACATTTCACTTTTAACCGAAAGTTGCCTTTGCTTGGCCCATTTAGGGAAACTTGGTCTAACACTCTAACTTTCAGCCCCCACCCCCACCCCCACCCTCACCCCCACCCACCCAACCGATTTGAGTCGAAAAAATTTATTCACGTTCAATATTAATATATATGGATAACAATTATACTTCATAATAACAATTAAGTTTTTTTAAACGAATAGACAATATTGAAAAATTACTATTTTGCCATTGAGATTTTTTACTGAAAATCGTTCAAAGACTAACTTCATAAATATTTTGATAAAATTAGTTAGGAAAAGAATTAGTGTTCTCATTCGGAAAATATAGAAAGCTTTCTAGTATTTCTGAATGAGTTAGATGGGAAAATCATGTTTTATAATATGAATTTTCTTATTGATATGTGATAAAGAAAAAAATTATGTTTTTGGTAGCGCAACTTTTATGTTATATAGTATGATTCGCCTTTTATAATAACATTTTACTAGAATAGTCTAATTCTTTTTTGGGCATGACTTTCATGTTTATATCATATTTATTATGTGCTTCTATAATATCATTTTGCTAATATACATAAAAAAGATATTAAGACAAATGAATTAAGAAAATCATGTTTTATAATATAAATTTTCTTGTTGATATGTGATAAAGAAAAAACTTTTGCTTTTGATAGTGCAACTTTTATGTTACATAGTATGATTCGCCTTTTATAATAACATTTTACTGGAATAGTCTAATTCTTTTTTGGGCATGACTTTCATGTTTATGTCATATTTATTATGTGCTTCTATAATATCATTTTGCTAATATAAACAAAACGGATATTAAGATAAATGAGATTGCTAAGGAGAAGTACAATTGTTATTTATTTTCACGCTAAACTCATCATTTATTTATAGATAATAAAGATAAGAATACAAGTGGTATATATTTTTATTTTATTTGTGAGTTTTGTTATTAAACGTAAATATTTCTATTTACTATATTATTTTTATAGTTTGATATAAATATTCAGTATAAATAATACTTCGTTAACCAGAAAAAATAGGATATTTCGCTTTATTTGTGCTTTTTATAACTAAGTTATCCTGTTTAATGTAAACATTGAATACAAGTGATATTTCGTCATTAAGTTCTAAAAGGAAAAAGAATAAACACGACGTAATTTTTGTATAATTTATATCCAAATCAAACTTAACTACCTAAGTAGTGCTTTTTCCATTTTCTAAAACTCTTTTTTTTTTCATTCAATATCTGATAATTTTATTGGAATCTGATATTTCAAAGTTCATTCTGCAAGATATCGTTCTCAATAATGCTTTTTCTATTTTCAAATACTTAAATTAGAAATGTTTTATTAATAAGTAAACATTTCACGTAATAACTGATATTGGTCAACTTTTCTTTTCACATCAAATGTTTATCTTTGACCAATAAGTTTGTTAAAGAAAATAATAATGCTAATAACTTTATCTTTTTTTTTCCTTCTATTTGTTAATCTTTCGGTGTTAAATTTCTTTGATACTCCCTATTTTAGCATAAACTTTTGACTTATTTGAAAAGACTTGTATCTTTTTGTAGCTCTCTAGCATATAATTATGGATTAGATATACTTACATTAAATTAAATATTTAAACTATAAACTCTTGTCATATATATTCAATATAATTTATTTTAATTTCCTCCTTTTTTAAGTGTTGAGAATTGAGAGTTGGATAACAAGAATATTCCACTAGTCAACTTTTGATTTTGATGAAAATTATTATTATTGTTACATTATATGTACAAAGTAGATCTAAATAAAAACTAGAAAATTCACAATAAAGGATGAAATATTTAAAAAAATTCAAACAACAAATATGATGTAAGAGAAACATATACATGTGTCAAAAAAAATTCAGAAATCAATAAATTATATACTTCACACATCTACTATAGTATCGTAATTAATAAGTTATATACTTCACACATCTACTATAGTATCATTAATACAAATGAGCTTGACAAGTCCTTTCTAAGTATCAATGGTGGAGATATTCTTTTATAAACGAATATAATTAAACATCGTTTGACTATTCTATTGATAAAATCATATATATGAAACTTCATTTTTTAAAGGAGAGTGAACTAAAGTTATTGCTTTAAAGTTTAAAATAATACAATGTAGACATTAATTTAGAATAAAAGTTTTAAATTTTGCAACATTAAACGCTAAACTCAAAAGTATATACAAGTTGAATTGTAATAATAAGCCAATTTCACTCGAAAAATATTGTATACAAAATTAAATATATTTTTCAAATTTTTTACTATTAATTTGTAGGAAAGAAGAAAATAAAAACACACGTTTACAACATAAGATGATAATCCCTCAATCCCTCTAGTTCACATTGAGTAGATTATTTTTCAGAGTTCAAAATAAATCAATTTCTTTTATATGTCTACGTAATTATTTAAAAAGAATTTATCATCCTTCTTTATGGAGTTTTTAACTATTTTAAATTTACTACTAGAATAATTTAAAAATAATAAGAAGGATCATAATGAAAAATAACCTTCCTGAAATACTTTTTTTTTTCAATGAATGTACCCCCAAATCCCAACAATCCACTTAACATGAATTAAATGGGGTGCTAATTAGGATGGAGCCTCTCTCACCCCATATATTTTTCTATTTTTTCGATATGAATTGTGATGAAATGATTAAAGACTCTTTCATTCTTAATTATCTTTCAATTTAAGCTTTACATATGAAAAAAAACAAATATTCAAAATGTCATTTTCAAAAATAAATTTTACTATATGCAAATTCAAATTAATCGTAATAGACGCTCAGTGATCGATCATAAACACAGAGAGTTAGGTAGTATTGTCAAATTTATTTTCATAACAAAAAATGTAGGGACACCCACCCCTTCTCCCCACACCCACATGGGTCATTTGTTGTATTAGTAGTAATATATAGTAGTAGTAAAGAGTTTAATCCTCCAAATATGCATTTTTCACATATCCAACACGTGGTCTTCTCTTACATGTTAGAAGTGGACCATAATTCCACACTCTCCCCAACTCTATATATACAAATCCTCCCCTTCTCTCTTCTATAAACTCAACTCAAAAGGAAACTAAACATAAACTCTCCTCATTTCCCACCTCTTTTCTCTCTACAAAAAAAAAAATCCCCTTTCCACAACACCAAATTGTACTATTAACATCCAAAAAAAAGAAAAAGAAAATAGGTAGCTATGGCAACTACTACTTCACATGCCACAAATACATGGATTAAGACTAAGTTGTCAATGCCATCATCAAAGGAGTTTGGTTTTGCATCAAACTCTATTTCTCTACTCAAAAATCAACATAATAGGCAAAGTCTCAACATTAATTCCTCTCTTCAAGCTCCACCTATACTTCATTTTCCTAAACAATCTTCAAATTATCAAACACCAAAGAATAATACAATTTCACACCCAAAACAAGAAAACAACAACTCCTCTTCTTCTTCAACTTCCAAGTGGAATTTAGTGCAGAAAGCAGCAGCAATGGCTTTAGATGCTGTAGAAAGTGCTTTAACTAAACATGAACTTGAACACCCTTTGCCGAAAACAGCCGACCCACGAGTCCAGATTTCTGGGAATTTTGCTCCGGTACCGGAAAATCCAGTCTGTCAATCTCTTCCGGTCACCGGAAAAATACCCAAATGTGTTCAAGGCGTTTACGTTCGAAACGGAGCTAACCCTCTTTTTGAACCAACCGCCGGACACCATTTCTTCGACGGCGACGGTATGGTTCACGCCGTTCAATTCAAAAATGGGTCGGCTAGTTACGCTTGCCGTTTCACTGAAACAGAGAGGCTTGTTCAAGAAAAAGCTTTGGGTCGCCCTGTTTTCCCTAAAGCCATTGGTGAATTACATGGTCACTCTGGAATTGCAAGGCTTATGCTGTTTTACGCTCGTGGGCTCTTCGGACTTGTTGATCACAGTAAAGGAACTGGTGTTGCAAACGCCGGTTTAGTCTATTTCAATAACCGATTACTTGCTATGTCTGAAGATGATTTGCCTTACCATGTAAAGGTAACACCCACCGGCGATCTTAAAACAGAGGGTCGATTCGATTTCGACGGCCAGCTAAAATCCACCATGATAGCTCACCCAAAGCTCGACCCAGTTTCCGGTGAGCTATTTGCTCTTAGCTACGATGTGATTCAGAAGCCATACCTCAAGTACTTCAGATTTTCAAAAAATGGGGAAAAATCAAATGATGTTGAAATTCCAGTTGAAGACCCAACAATGATGCATGATTTCGCAATTACTGAGAACTTCGTCGTCATTCCTGATCAACAAGTCGTTTTCAAGATGTCTGAAATGATCCGTGGAGGTTCACCGGTGGTTTACGACAAGAACAAAGTTTCCCGATTTGGTATTCTGGATAAGTACGCGAAAGATGGGTCTGATTTGAAATGGGTTGAAGTACCTGATTGTTTCTGTTTCCACCTCTGGAATGCTTGGGAAGAAGCAGAAACAGATGAAATCGTTGTAATTGGTTCATGTATGACACCACCAGACTCCATTTTCAATGAATGTGATGAAGGGCTAAAGAGTGTTTTATCCGAAATCCGTCTCAATTTGAAAACAGGGAAATCAACAAGAAAATCCATAATCGAAAACCCGGATGAACAAGTGAATTTAGAAGCTGGAATGGTGAACCGAAACAAACTCGGAAGGAAAACAGAGTATGCTTATTTGGCTATCGCTGAACCATGGCCAAAAGTTTCTGGTTTTGCAAAAGTAAACCTGTTCACCGGTGAAGTTGAGAAATTCATTTATGGTGACAACAAATATGGTGGGGAACCTCTTTTTTTACCAAGAGACCCCAACAGCAAGGAAGAAGACGATGGTTATATTTTAGCTTTCGTTCACGATGAGAAAGAATGGAAATCAGAACTGCAAATTGTTAACGCAATGAGTTTGAAGTTGGAGGCAACTGTGAAGCTTCCATCAAGAGTTCCTTATGGATTTCATGGAACATTCATAAACGCCAATGATTTGGCAAATCAGGCATGATTGTGACTATTACTGAGGAAAATTTACCAGAGGGATGGTTTAGAATATACGTCCCCGGAATATTCCTCTTTAATGGAGTTCGTTTCTTTGATTATTTCTACATCTTTTTTCTTTGTTTATATAGTGTGAGAGATTCTCAGAGAACCAGTTAGTAGCTTGGATGTAGTTAGAAAATGGGAGCTCAGCTGGTTTTTTTCTGGTGATTCTTTCACATTTGATTGTGCATGAGAGAGTATATATACCTTATTATAGGAATACAATACAATGTTCCTGTAACTCTCTGTTTTCTTGTATATCAAAAAAAAAATCATCGCTTATACTATTTTCCACCCTTTCTCTTTGATTGTGTTTCTGTTTCTTTAGTTTTTAGCTTGTGTTTCGTTCGATATTCATGTTGGTAGATTTCGAATGTGGTGTTCAGTATTGATACTGATTTTTGTTTGTGGTTTCTAATATGGTATTCAATAATGATGTTTGGTTCTCGACTAACTTTGGTTTTTTTATTTGGCGTTCAATATTAGTGTTTTTGTTTGTGTCTTCTTTGATTTTTAATTTACTGTTGCAACTAGATTAATTATTATCTGTGTTTTCTTCTTGGTTATTAAATTTGGTTGTCAATATTAATGTTGATATTCGACTAATCTTTGTTTGGGTTATTTGGTTTTGTCGCTCTAATAATTTTTGTGTGTGTTTTTTTTATTTCTTATTCTAGTGTTCAATACTAATATTGACACTCGATGATGTTTGTTTGTTTTTTCTTGATTTCTAATATGGTATTCAATGCTAGCATTAGTATCACTACTGGTACTTGATTAATTTTTGTTTGATATTTTTTTGGCTTTTAATCTAGTGTTTAGTATTATTAGCACTTGATTAATCAATCAAAAGAAAAAAAAAGACCATTCATATTTAAATTTAAAAATTCTAATAAAAAATAAAATAAGTTCTTCCAATTTTTTATGTATATTACCACCCTAAAATTAGGGATAATGCCCAAGTACCCCTAGCGTATGCCCGAAATCTCAGAGACACACTTATACTATACTTAGGTCCTATTACCCCTAGAACTTATTTTATTAATAATTTTTTACCCCTTTTCGACCTACGTGGCACTATTTTGTGGGCCCAACGATTGTTGACTTTTTTTTTCAAACTAGTGCCAAGTAGGCAAAAAGGGGTAGAAAATTACTTATAAAATAAGTTCAGGGGTAATAGGACCTTAGTATAGTATAAGTGTGTCTCTGAAATTTCGGACATAGGTTAAGAGGGTACTTGTGCATTATCCCCTAAAATTACATGTATTTTTTTGGGAGAATAAATAAAGAAAAATCTTTGTCCTTAACCACTATGTTTCAAAACCATGAATTTGACGTGTACATTACCGATAATTTAAATAATTTCTATTCTATTTCGACAGAATCAATAGTTAGATTAGATATAACTAATTTACCAAAAAAGCAATAATTTTTTTTTTTGTGATTTCAAATTTTAAATCTAGGTGATCTATTACTTGCACAAAACTTTTCTCCTATACTGGATGAAAAGTGATACACTATGTGAAAAAGGTGAGAGACTAAGAGTTGGTCATTTTTTATTATTATACGGTGACATGAAAGTCTATTTTTTTTAGCATCTAAAGATATGAGATCATATTTTGTATTTATATTAAAAATTTAGAAAATACTTATAAATTATCAATAATGAACTTAGTTATTATTTTACATTAAATTGAAGTTATTGAGAAAATATAAACTCATACTTTAGAAATCTCCCGCTTTTCGAGGTAGTACATAATTAAATAAGATATTTCATGTCAATAAAACACAAGAAATACATTGAATATATAACTAAATAAAACACAAGAAATATATTAAATATATAAGTAAGCAGATCATACACAATAGTAACTGTACTTTAATATTTTACTTGTCTAGAATCAGAACATATTGTATTACTAGTGAACTAAGTTATTATAGATGATATCAAAGTTGTAATATAGGAGTATTATTACGTTTGAATATATAAGTAAACATATTTAAAATCGTATAATATCACTAACGGGTTGATCCTTTCCGAAAGTTATTGCGGATAATTGGAAGCAAATTAGCGAAAGAGGTCAATGTCATTATCTTCCTAATTTTCATGCAAATTGTAATATTGTTAATTGTGGCACTCTCTCATTGGTACCTTTTGCAAATATTTTTTTTTGGAAAAAAACATAGTTAGCCAATCAAAACATGCAACATAGCAGTACACCTTTTGGGACTAAAAATTATATTAATCTTTTTCTGCTTAAATTATATTATCCGTTTTATATATTTATTTTACGATACAATTCACGGCGATATAATGAAAGTAAGGGGATCCATGGTGATAGTAACAAAATGTCCTGAACAATTGGCGTTTTTGCTTAGTAGTCTCATTACAACGAAAAAAGGCTTTGTGAAGAAAATTTTTTCAATATTGAAGCTCAAAATTAGAATTTTTAATTTAAATCACGTCGTGTAATTCTAGTACTTTTGTTCCGAAGAATATTCAGATGGTTTTGAGGATTCTTGTAACCTTTAACATGTCCTATAAAAACACAAAATATTTTACTTTTTTAAAATTTTAATTACTATCTCCGTTTCAGAATTTTTTCCCATTCACATCTTTCTAAAAAAAAACTTCTACCTCGAGCACACGCAATGGAGCCCTGGGTTACCGAAAGCGATCAATCTTTCTTCTGGTGGGAGGGAGTCTTGTTATCTCCGTTTCAAAAAGGTTGATCTAGTTTGACTTGGAATGTAGATTAAGAAGAAAAAAAGAATTTTAATTTTGTGATTCTAAATTAAAGTTATGTCAAGTGTACCAAAATGTCATTTAATCTTGTGGTCTTAAACATTTCACTTGGAAAGTTAAGGATAAATTATTGCCAAAAAAGAAAATAGGTCATTCTTTTTTAAACAAACTAAAAAAAATGGGAACAATCTTTTTGAAACGGAGAAAGTAATATAAAAAATATTCATAAGCAATTTATTTGATTATAATGGACATGCTCAAGAATTGATAAATCCTATTGTTGAATGCCTTGAATCGGA